GGGGGGGGGGGGGGGGGGGGAGCTGAGCTGGCGGGAAGATCTAACCCGGCGAAACACCAATGACCTGGAGGGCGGAGAGTGCATGGAAGTAGAAGCGGGTTCGATAAGGGGGGTGACCAAGAATGGCGCTTGGACACTGGGTGTATGTTCTTGTGGACGTCGTTTGCGTATGCTTGTGGACGTGGCGCATTGCTCCACGTCTCGTCGTTGACTGACCCGGTTGCCCCCGCCCCCCAAAACAACCACGAAAAACGCCTGCAACAACACCAGCATGAGCTTCGCCAGCCCGGAGGTACGAAAGGTGCGGCTCACATACTTCGATGCGGGGGACAAGGTGCAGGTCCTGAACGCCGTCATCTACCCGGACCCGTCGCTAGACATGCCGCTGCTGGGGATAGATCTCATCTCCTTCGGAGGCAAGCACCTGGCGGGGATCGACTTCCAGCCGCTCTTCGACAATGACTCTTGTCGTTGCCGGTGAGATTCTGAAACCGCTCGTTATTGTAACGTGTAAACCATATTTATTTATTGAAGAGGAAGAACGGAATCCGAACAATATCTGCTGTTGCTTCGGCGATTGGTTTTGCGTTTTGCCCCACCGGTACAAGTAGTTAACACATGACGCTCGGTTGTTTTTGCGGGAGTGTTGCGCAGTCCTAAGTACATGGGTGAGACCTGAACACTAACCGCCATGATGACACCATGATGTTTCCCATGGACATCCCTTGCTCGCCCGCGGGACGCGATGCCTGCATCCACGCACATGTATCGCGTGCGGTGTTTCGCGGTGGTTCACAAACCCTCCTCGACCATGTCGCGCATCGTGTCCATGTCCCCCAGGTACTCGGACAAGCTTGCACCCATCAAGGCGAAATATCCGGAGTTCGCCCAGAAGATGTCGCCGCGCTTCTACGACAGCGCGCGATTCTTCAGTGAGGAGATGCTCTTCGGAAGGTGAATGATCGTTGGTCGTTGACTAGTCTACCCCCCTCCCCCTCAACCCCAGCGCACGATCTTCACTAGCGTTGACTTTGCTCAGACCTTTCCAAATGTTTCATCTCCTGTGGTGCTTGCTGCAGGACTGCAGCACACTACTGCAGTTCCCCCCCGATTGCGCTCAGCCCATCACCCTCGTCTTTTACCACACACTTGCGGTCCGCCGGCACGTAATCCCTACTCCTGAGATCTCACTTGCGTAATAACCACCCCACCCCCCCACCCCAAAACACCACCTCAGATACGAAGATGAGGCCATTGTAGAGGAAAAGCTTTTCCCGGCGTTCGACGAGTACCTCTCGCTCTACATCTCCGACCTGCTCAAGGCCGCCGAGGAGGGCGGGAACCCCTCGCCGGAGGCCCAGGCGCGCGTGCTGGACCGCCACCGCGCGTACGACCAGTACAACGCGGAGCGCGACCCGGCGCACGGGCTGTTCCGCACCTACTTTGGCGAGGCGTACAGCGAAGACTTCATGGACAACTTCCTGTTCGAGCTGAGCACCAGACCGGAGGGTGGCTACCCCAAGGGCACGGCTCGTGGGGGAGGGGGGGGCGCGAACGGCCGGCCAGCGGGAGGGAACCCTCACGCGTAGTTTTGTCACTTCCGTTATTATGGTGCATGTGGTTTTTGTGGGATGGCGAGCGAAGATGCTGTCTCTTTGCGCGGATTTGCAGTGGTTGACGCGCGCCAAGGGTGTAGGGGGAGAGGGTGAAGGAATGCGATGTGATTTTTTGGCTGTGCGTATGCATGAAAAGGATACAGCCCGTTTTTCTAAAGTTTGGCTTGTTTTAGAACGAAGCGTGTTGACTTGTTCTCGGAAGAAAATAGCGCGTGTTGACACTCTGGTCGACACACACGGCAAGGGAAAGCAATAAATGCACATGTCTATGTTTTTTTGTAAGTCCTGCTGTCAAGAATGATGACTTTTTATATGCTGGCGAAGGTACACGGCAACAGGACTAATCTCGGGCCGTGCAAGGTGAGGCAGCCTGAGTGTTGATTTTCTTTTATTTTCCTGTTGGAGCGTGTAGAGGCGATGAGCGTTCTTTGAGGGTGTACAGAATGATGCTGGAGTTGATGCTCCTGGTGAGGGAAGACATAAGTCGAGTACACGTGAAGCAGTAGGTTTTTAGTGTTTGTTTGGTCGCGTTCCCGAACGACGAACGTATCCCTTGATGTGCTTGGAATACTGTAGCAAAATAAATCTTGCTACCCCATGCTACAGGCGTTCTTTGTGAGAGTGTTGGACAACAACCACTGGGGGGGGCTGGGGGGGGGGGGGGGGGGGGGNGGGGGGGGGGGGGGGGGGGGGGGGGGGGGGGGGGGGGGGGGGGGGGGGGGGGGGGGGGGGAGGGTAGCCTTAGCGGTTAGACCATTGGCCACGTGCCTAGCCTTCAACGGTTAGACCATTTGGCCACGTGCCACGCGTCCTTCCTTCAGAGAACGGAGATTTTCTAACATCGGGGGGGGGGGGGGGG